AATAATGACATTTTCAAAAATACCAGCCCAAACATTAACTTTTTGTGGGTGTTGTGTATGCCCTTTCTGAAAAATATTTGGGTTTTCGTCACTACAATTGCGACAACTTTGTCTATTAACATTGCCATTCAGAAAAAACGAACACTCATCGTTAAATAGATGTTTAATACAAGATTAAGGATGGTACTGACTCGATGAGACACACAAAACTCTATTCTTCTATCATAATCATCCTCGTAGAGCTCTTGAAATATCTGCATTTTATAAGGATGAAATGTATGCGTTTTCAATGCTCTTCCTACAATCTCGCGTAATATTCTTGTCCGTTCTGATACTGATCATACGGAGCTCGTGGGCTCTGCAGCAAATGTTACCAAAACGTCAATTTGAGCTGCTTTATCTAGTACTCTGTAGTTATTTCTTTTTTATTTGTCACTGAACCAGTTTCGTGTCAGTATCCTCATTGGATCTATAAAACACGAAATTTGGTGAGTAAACCTTTGATGGGTTGATCCATAGCTCTCACTTGTATACTGACTAGTGCTGGACACTTAAACTTCAACATAATGTATTTTCAGAATTGTTGGAAGGGCAAATGCGTATATAGCGGTAATAGTATCATAATTTATCTCTTTTGTATCACAATTATATTTTCCAAAAACGCTTGGTTCACCAGAAATTGGCCGAATTATTGGCTTGTAAATTAATCAATGACTTGAAATCATCCTGATTTTCTAAGAGGAAATTGGAGCGGTTTGATCGAATCATAAATTACAGTCTATAATTCACAGGACTCTCATTGTATCTTATTTTTGATAAAACCAGAATTTTCCTGATTGGAATAACATAATATACATTATCTATATTTCAACAATCACGTTGATACTCAATATAAGTAATACCCCAGGCGACTATTCCCGCGTGGTAGTACCTTCCCTCTTGTCCCTCGATGGGGCAGACCAAAGGGCTACCACCGTCACCATCACAGGCATCTTTCCCCTCCTCGCCACCAGCACATACGAAACTTTCGTGTAATATGAAGTGTTTTCCGAGTCTAGTTTCCCTCAAGTTACTCTGGCAGGTGTCTCTCCGAACCAGTGGGAGGTCAATCTTTTTCATAATGATGTGAAACACGCCATCCTCACCGAATCTGTCTTTTCCCCAACCCATGGAGTAACATCTTCCCGAACTAGTTTCTTGAATTTGGTTTTGTGCTGGTAAACAGAGAACATCAATATTTTGTGTGATGTTNCTCGGAGGCCATTCAACTGCTCCCCTCCTGCAAATCCATCTATCCGGAAATTTCTCGTTTAATCATTGTCGGACGGGAAGAAATTAATGAGGTGGAGCATCGTCCTGCTGGAAATGTAACAGATCCTCCTGCAAAAGTTCTTACCTTCCGCATCCATTTGGGTTTCTAACTCGTTATAAGAGGATCGATAGTTTCTTCAAGCATTTCTTGGTACGGATTGCCAGTCAAGTTTTCTTCCAGAAATAATGGATCAATAATGGCATTTTCAAAAATACCGTCCCAAACATTAACTTTTTGTGGGTGTTGTGTATTGCTTTGAATTGATTTGAAGTAGTAATAAAATTAATTGTAAAGCAAAGAATTGAAATACTTATGATGATTGGCTATGGAGACAGATCGCGAACTCAGATGGAAGTGTGTAACTTATCTAATGAAAAATATCCAGAAAGAAGCATAACGCAGTCAGCAGTAAGTAAGATTGAAAAGGAATTTCGACAAACTGGTACAGTTGAAAATGCACGCAAATCAGGTCGTCCTTCTGTAAATGATGATACTGAACTAGATGTTCTACTTGCTTTTGAAAAAGATGTGCACACTTCTGTTCATAGGGTAAGTCGTGAGTAGTCTTCAGTAAAATAACTGTACACAAAATATAAAAATTGGAAAAAAGGCATCCCTTTAAAATCAAACTTCTACAGGAATTAAACGAGGATGATCCAGATAGAAGAATATAATTTTGTGAAGCCATGATGGATAACTGTCACCGAGACGGTCTCCTAGTAAAAAATATATTTTTTTCTGATGAAGCCACTTTTACATTAAATGGTGGGGTCAACCATCAGAGTTGTAGGTACTGACCGAAGAAAACCCCCACTGGATGCGTGAGCATCATACACAATACCCGCAAAAGGTAAATGTATGGGATGGCATTGTGAAAAATAGGATCATTGGACCCTACTTTTTCGACGGTACTTTAGACGGGCCAACATACCGTCAGTTTTTAAGGGGATATCTTGTACCTACTTTAATTAATTTATTATGTCCCAGTAGAATTAATCCTGTAAGTTTTGATGAAAGTTTATGGTTTCAACAGGATGGTGCGCCTCCATATTATGCTGCAGATGTTCGAAGGCCAGACTTGAATCCGTTGGATTACATTATGTGGGGCCATCTGAAGAATGTTGTTTATAAAACGAAACCAGCAAATATTCAAGAATTGAAAGAGAGAGTTCGAACAGAAATGAACAATTTCTCAAGAAACCATAAACAAGGTTCAACAAGAATTTATTCAACGTTTAGGTTACTGTCAAATACAGCAAGGATTACAGTTCGAACATTTAAAATAAAGTCATGTATTTATTACTGGATTACTTTTCCACTGTTAAATTATTCATTAGGAAA